AAAGGAAAACTTGAAATCGCATCATATGACCCCTTTAAAAGAACCAAACTCAAGACTTCCAAATACTTACTTTCTTTAAAATAGCATGATGAGCCCAAAGTATGTATAGAAGACTACAAACAAACAAGAATGTCTTTCCTTTGCTTTGAAGCATGCAGTGCACGCAGACAGTATATTTAATAAAATTAAATAATCAACCACAGTCTGTTGTGGTTTAAAAATCACAATAGGCCATATTGCGACTTCAGTTTTATTTCAATTAACTGACTGCCAAGAATGTATGTAATGTTGCAAAATAAGTGATTACAATTTCAATACTGGCTCTGTAGTATAACTGTATTAGTATGGACTATATAATGAGCTTCACATCATCAGCTTTGAATTTAACCTGCTGACTAAAAGACTGTCTTTAAATCCCAAACTATGAGAATGATCAAAAAATGAAGTATCGTCTTTATTATTATCACTGTTCTTTTTCATTATTGCTCTGGCGTTTTGGTGCCCCATAAAACCATTATGATGGAAGGAGTAAAAGAGAAATGGCGGGGAGAGACTGTGTGTGTGTTTGAGCCATAAGGGGAATGGTGGCCACCACTCTGCTGCTTGCAATACTAATGAATCAAACTGTGTCAGGCAGAGAGGTGTAGAAAGGCGTGAGGTGAGAGAGATTACTGTGCCATTGCTGAACCGCATGAACCCAGTGAACCAGACTCACTGCGACTGATGCCGCACGAGCTGAAGATGGAGTGCAGGTGGCGTTAAAGCAGATAAACAGGAACGTTGAATGCCCTAACGACACTTAAGAGGCACTGTATCCCAAGGGAGGACAACAAAGACTTCTAATGTCTTCCCTATAGCAGATACCTTTTTGAAACACATTTAACATCTATACTTTTAAAAATAAAGCTTCTTTATCCATATTGATGGTTAAAGATTGTTTTTATAGTTGAAAAGATTATTCGATTATTAAAACGCTGTTCAGGATAATAAAAAATGGTTCTTTCAAGAACTGTTAAATGAAAGGTTCTCAGGGGAACCAAGAATGGTTCTTCTATGTGAAAAAGATCGCTGTGAACGATCACTTTCATCACTGTGAAAAAAACCCCTTTCTGAACCTTGCACAAACAACAGCAACCACTCACATTTTCAGAGGCTTTTGCTCTAGAAGTTTTTCCTTTCATTTATTTTCTCCACACGGACATCAAAAAATCTGACGTGCCTCTCACAGAGAAGAAATCTCAGAATGTGCTCAGATTTGCCATGACAAAGTCTGCCATCAAATGTCAGAGATCTCAGTATGAACCCAAATACTTCTCATCAAATATTTCTGAGATCAAATCTATGCATTATTTGAATTTCTTTAAAAAGTAAGTTGTAGTAACTCAATAAAACTGTCTTGTTAACTGGAATAGGAGAGTAAATGTTGAAATCAAGTGTTATTTTATGTTTTGTTTTTTTTTTAGTAAAGGGAAAGACCTGCTAGTGTTTAATGCTTTGACATTTTAAAGAGCTTCTGAAATGTTGAAGTTTTTGTGGTTACCATTGTGCTGAAGAGACACACTACATTGAGGTCATACATTAGAGAACAATCTATAAATACTTGATTTTTTTTCTGAAATATTAATCTTCATCGCTTAAGGAATTTTAGCTGTAGGTATACCACTGATCCACTAACATGTTTGACTAAATAACCAAGGCATTTCAACAAAAACCTTTATTTTGTGGAGAACACAGTGATCAGAATTAGAGAACAGTAACCACTGTAGCACGAAAGAAGATTACAAATAAAATTGTGGGAGGGTTACAGCTGTCAGAAATTTGAAGGAATTGTAGAGGCTCCTGCTTTGAATGACTTCAGCACATCTGCGACCGCAGAACATCATTAATTTGTCACACTGCGCTGGTGTGATCTTGGTCCACTCTTCTTCCTGCAGTGGGTTTCTTAGCCATAACTTTGTCGCCAAGGATTTTCCAGAGATTTTCAGTTGGGTTTAGATCAGGACTCTGGGCCGGCCATTTCATTATTTCAATGTTTTCAGATTCAAGGAACTGCTTTACCCATTCTGCTGTGTGACGAAAGCATTGTCTTGCATGAAAATTGCAGGCTGATTGTGAGATGCTTGCAGGAAAGGTACCGCATGTTGCTGATGCTGAAGGAGGTTCTGATAAACATTTGCGTTAACCCTGCCATGTATCTGTACAGCATAAGAGGCCCAACTCCTGCTGCAGAAAAAATCCCCCAAACACTACCTCCTCCACCTTTCACTGACTTCTTTACACACTCGGGGTTCAGTCTTTCCCCAGTTTGACGCCTAACATAATATTTCCCATCTGACCCAAATAAATTAAACTTGCTCTCATCACTAAAGTGAATATTGGACCAGTTCTCCTCTCTTCACACAACATGCTCCTCAGCAAAGGTTAGAAGTCAGTTTGACTTCTAAACGTGCCGAGACAGATCCATAGCCTGTTCAGTTCTTTGGCCTTCATCTGGACCGCCTCCTGTCACAGGCTTTCAGTGATCAGCGGCCCGCCATCTTGCAATTTCAGTGAAAATTAGAGGAATGTTTCCAGTTAATTAGGTTTTGTCATATAATTAAGGAAATTAGCACCAGCATCAAGTAGTACTAAGCAGTGAAAACTTGAAATTTAGGAAATTGTAGATTGTTCTCTAATTTTGATCTCCGCTGTATATGGGCAATGACTGCGCTAATGCCACTGACTTAGTATTCTTGTTACTTGTTCATTAAACATGTTAAATAAGTCACATTTAGCATGTTCTATGATAGCTGTGGATTTGAATTGAAAAAGATCATATAAATTGGTTGCTGGCCCACAAATCCACTAGTTGGAGCAACTTCATTATTTTTTATGTGTTTGTTACAAA